AGACTTGGGCCCATTCCCCTCGGGACAACCCCTCCCCTACACACACCCATGCACATGCAAATGAATGCTCATTCTGGTGAACTCTGAGATGATATAATATGAAAGAACAGACTAAAGGCATGAAACTTGTTTGGTAGAAAGTGGTCAAGTGTTTCTGCCAGAGGGCAACAAGACTACTAGATCAAGAGGTCTGGGAGAAAGATAAGGGAAGAGGTCTGAGAGGAATAAAGAGAACGTTCTACTTGTGATGCCTCAATCAGGCAGGTCCCCTTTGGGTGGTTCATCAGCCCTTTTACAGAGATCACCAGAAAGCTATGGTTAAGGAGGACCACTTTTCAGCATCTGGAATATGACTTTTTCTGTGCTCAGCAGGAGATTTTAGTTCCATGACAGAGTCCAGTTGTATAAAAAGAGAACTGGCAGTGGAAAAACACTCTAGTAAAAGGAGAAAAGGTGTGGAAGGCCATTTTAATGTGGTTAGGCTATGTAGTTTCAGTTGTGCTGAGCCAGACAGACTGAGGAAGAGTTTTATTGATTTTGCTTTTATTTTTTAATGGGAAAGATGTGAGCTTGTTTCATAGGCTAAGAATAAAGGCACAGTGAGAGTCAGTGACTCAACATACGGAAACTTGAATGCAGGTAATTGAGAGGAAAGAAAGGGAAATTTGGAGATTCTTTCACTTGTTAGGTTAAGAAATTCTGGGTTCACAGTTGCATGATCAAATATTACAAAGTATCAAAGCCTTCCCAAGTTTAGTTGTCTTTTAATCTATTGTGTTAATTTATTGAACACAAATAAAATCATCAAAGAGCTCACCTGAGTACTGGTGTAGGGAAAAACAGAATCTTAACTTTTGGAAACAATTAAGTTACTTGAGATTTACCTTTTTTAAAAAAAACTTGCTTATAAACTAAAAATCCTGTTTTGGACAAATTTAGAAGGAGTTCACAATAAGTATAGCAACCATTGTTGACAAACAGGATATTAAATATGTCACGGAAGTGCTGCTAAAAAGAAAGCAGGTTAAGTGTAGGGGACAGCAAGAGATGTCTTGTGAGGCAGATTCATTGTGTATTTGTACAACTTTGAAGAGACATAACACTAAGTACCACATCTGTAAACTGCATTTTCTCATCCTTTTTTTCTTTCTATAAATTTTTCTGCATAATCTTCCCCTACTATCACTATATTTGTAAGCCACTAGATGGCTATCACAGTCCACAGGAAGTCAAATCAAGGCACCAGCAGTATGATTATAGCATAGTGAAGTCTCTTTCCTCATGTATAAAATGGGAGTAACTATGGCACTTAAGTTCCTAAAACATTGTCGGAGGTAGTTAAGAAAGTATGAACATGCTAACTAAATGGTAGATTGTATGTATTATTGCATACATAAATTTCAAAGATTTGCTATACTTACTCTATAAATAAAATTGAGGAATAACAAATAGCCAAGTAAAGGTGAAGGCACAATGTATGAGCTCCTACCATGGACAAAAACCTTGGTGGAGGCAGAAAAGAATTTAAGAAAGACACTGAGAAGGCAATGTATATAAGGAGGAAGGCAGAAATCAGTGTAGATGCCACGCAGAGGCTCGGAAGGGAAATGAAGACTGACATGAGGAGGAAATTACCCAGAGGTTGCAAAGACAAGCAGTGCACAAATATTGTTTCTTGCTTGATATGGTAACTTTGAAAACTAAAGCTATTCTTGTGATTGTCATTAATAGATAATGTATGCAGTAGGGTACTTCCCTCAATAGTTTGAGATTCTTTTGCAGTATTGGGACTCAAACTCAGGGCCTTGCACATGCTAGGAAGGCAGGGGAATGCATGTTTAATTAATGCTTTAATATCTTGTTATGTTTTGAACTCATAAGGCATTTTGGGTGTACATTAGAGATAAAGCAAACAAGAATAAAATTATGGTATCTTAATAATTTAACTATAAATTCACTTTAAGGATTGAATTAAGGTTTTTATAGAAACACAGAAATATAGCATACTTTTTGAGTGTGTTAGAAAAATAGAAAAAAATAAAAGCAATTATTGGAATCCTTTTTTTTTTTTTTTGGTGGAACCGGGGATTGAACTCAGGCCCTTGCACTTGCAAGGGAAATGCTTACTGCACTGAGCCATCTCCGTAGCCCCTATTTTTGGGAGTTCCATGGAGCCTGGCCACTACTCCCTACCCTGAAGACCACCAGGGAGATATAACTACTACAGGGACCTGCAGGAGCCTTGGGGAGCCCTAGCCCACACCAACCACCATGGAGACAGCCTTGCAGAACTCTGGCCAGCACTCATCATCTTTGGAGCCTTCTTGAACTGAGGCTTGCCCCCCTCCCTTCAATGAGGTGGAAGCCACATTGAACCCCACACAGCAGGAGCTTATCCTGAGCAACTTGGAAGACAGCATCATGTAATTCAGCAACCGTTGAATTACACTGGATTCCTACTACTTTGTTTAGTGAAATTTTGTATCATTTCTAATGCTGTTTTTTTTCTATCACTATTTTGTATTCTTTAAAAAATAAATTAAAAAATAAAGCAAACTACTTTCAGAAATCTTTCTCCTATTTAATTTTATAAATGAAAAGTGAGACATGGTAAATAATATAATATTTCTAAATTGCTGTATTTAATATATAGCACAATAGCCAATATAAATATAGTATAGATGATAATAAAATTGTGTACAACAGAATTCCTGGCTTTGTGACCCAGAGCAAATGGTGTGATCTTTTTTTTATACCTAAAAGTCCTCATTTATAAAATGAGAATTATAATAGTGTCTATCTCATTGCCTATTAAGAAAATCAGTTAATCGTGTTCTAAGTGCTCGGCATGTAGTAAGCACACAATTATGCCAGCTATTACGGGTGTTAGTTACTTTCACTTCAAAGATTAGCATTCAAGGAGGCTGATGGTATTGGCTTTATCCAGCAAAGGTTATCACTCAAGCAGATATTAGTGCATTTGGCAAGAAAAAGTCGTGGGTATAACAAAGATTACTTGGATTACACTGGGACAATTTCTGTCACTCATCCTTCCCAGCCTTCTGGAAGATTTTTAAAGTAATATAGGGCTGGAGAGATGGCTCAGTGGTCTAAAGCACCTACTTAGAACAAGCTTAGCAAAGCATCAGGGACCGCGGTTGGATCCCCCAGCAC